AGAATCTATTTCACCAAGGACGTATAAGATGACGCTCCTAAGAATAAAGGAATAAATAATAAGACCGAAGAAAACATAATCTAAAGAGGAAATTGAAGAGTCTTTGGATTCACGACACTAGGGTAATTCCTTCAATGCTCCGCCAAAGAGACAAACTCATGGTAGTCGCTGGTCATGGTTCAAGCTAAAAACGACATTCGGATCAACAAGTTGTTTACCCTACCTTGAATATCTTTTGCCAATATGAAAAGACTTCCCCAACAATATGAAGGTGACCCACATGATGAGGAAATATAGACGCCGCCCAAACCAATGGCTCATTAGAAACTCTCAAGGAATAAGGGAGCCACCAGATTAAAAAAAAAAAAAAAAAAAAAAAAAAAAAAATTTCTTTGAAGCATTACCCTACAAAGGGGTCAAGCTGCACAGAGAAAAGGGATGTCTCCCTTCTGCACCTCAAATTAGATTTTCCCGAGTAAAGGGGTTCAAGCGTCAAAAGCGACTTTAGTCATTAGGTGTTCTCCTTCTAATTGTTAGGGTTTGTAAATCCAATGACTATTAGAGATTACTCCTCGGGGCTCCCCCGAGCACTGTAGGGCACATATTTCCCTATTAATTATAAAGAATGTCATTCTTACTATTTGCTTCTCTTCTTGCTATTCATGTCTAAACCTCATTAATAACCATGTTTAAGCAAACGTTTTCAAAAATGCGTCATCGTCAAAATAATCAAACCACTCATCACCACTGATTGACTAGAAACACAAAATAAAGTTTTACCTTGTCATAAATAAAGTCGTGTTTTGCCAATGTTGTGCAAAAAGAAAACAAAAATCAAAAGAAGCCCATAAAAGCTAAAAGCCAAAAAGAGAGGGCAAGATACCCGGTAGGAAACCCACCAAAGGGGGCTACGCAAAAGTTAGGGTAAACCCGCTAGGAAACCCGAACAACCATAAAGGGTAGCCTAAGCAAAAATTAGGGTTACAAAATAAAGTCCGCTAGGTTTCCAAAGCAAGAAAAAAGAAACCTAGACAAAAGTTAGGACAAAACAAAACACAACATCCTAAGCTGAAAACCCAAAGGGCAGACTAGGGAAGTCAATCAGTCATAGCAAGTGCCATAGAATAAGACGCCACTCCACAAACAAAACGTTGTTTAAACTAGCCTAAACACTCTAACCAACCTTGGCTAGTCGTGCTTACAAAAACCATTTTTTGTCAAAATAAAACAATTCTAAAACACAAGCCTTTGAATTAAATATCATTTTCCTTCTCTTCTCTTGACCCTTATCACTACGACATTATTCTAGTAATTAGTAGGGAAATGTGGAGATAGTGATCAATAGGAGGATTGACATCCCAAGGAAAGGGAGGGGCACACTGACATGGCAAGTCGTTCTACAATCAACACAATCATTCTTCGGTCACGACAAAGTCAAGACAGCGAAAGCGGTACAGCCTATTTTGTCAATGAAAGCACATAACGTCAGAAGCTCATAAGAAGTAAAAGCACATTGGTTAATCCTTTTGAAAAATTAATTGAAATAGTATTATAGGATGCATATCGCAAACATTGCATGCATATGATAGGCTCCTATCTCTCAAAGAAAAGAAGAGAAAGAAAAAATGATAATAAAAAGAATAATGCCTGCTAGGAGATTCTTAGGCAAAAGTTAGGGTAGCCCGCTAGATCGAAAACCTGCAAAGGGCGGTCTAGGCAAAAGTTAGGGCATTCATAAAAAAGGAAAAAAAATCCGTTAAGATATCCTAGGAAAAAATTAAGGCAGCCCGCTAGACCGAAAACCCCAAAAAGGGTGGTCTAGGCAAAAGATAGGGCTAAACCAAAAAATGAATAAAAGAGAGGGGCCCTTCATCATAATCATAAAAAGTCCAGCAGGAGAATGCCAGTCACTTTTCCAGATGCATCAATAAAAGAGAATAGATTGCATTTAGGGTATTCACACACAAGTAGTCGCACAAAACGACTTTGTCAATGTCAAAAATGAAAGAAATAAAAATTACTTCGGACAAATAACAAAAAACGAAAAGCATTCATGCGTATAAGGAGACTAGCTCCATGTTTGTGATTGAAAACAAGATCACTGAGACTGAGTCTGCAAATAATGCCCTCAAGAAAGCGGAGCAAGTCGTCAATCAAGCGACTCAGCAGAATAAGAGCTTCTGAAAATCAAGAGCTCCAGCTACCATCCTTCTACCCAGAAAAGAAGGCACAAGAAAGAAATAAGTCTCCAAACATAGCTCTCCCTCAAGAAAAAATAGCGAGTTGTCATCATCAAATAAGCTTAGAAGAAATAAGAAACTTCCGAAGCCCAAGCTCCGAGTCATCATTTTTCTACCCAATAAAAGAGGGCACAATCATCAGACATCATAAAAGAAAAGCCAACGGAAAGGCTTAGTCATCCCCAAGAGGATCCCTGCCTACTCCGAAGGCAAAACAAAAACACTCCTCACGGCTCAGCATTACCACTACATGAGTCATCGAGCACACTCACCCAAAGTCTCCTCCACACTCCCCAATGGAGAATAAAGGCTTCAAGAGCCCACCATCATCAACAGTCAAAAGAGTCCAATCTCCATACCAACAAGGGCTCAACAAAAAAAGAAAAAAGAAGAAAACTCTTGCATCCCTAGAGGATGTCCAAAGGAAAAGGCAACAATAAAGAAGACCAAGTAAAAATTCTCAAGTGGATCCCCTAAAAAGTCTACAAAAAAGGGGAATCAGAAATTCTCATCCCATAGCAGAATAAGGACACATCAACATTAATCAAGGAGACAAGACTCCATCCCCAGAAAAGAAAAATTAGATCCTCAGGAAGTTGACAATCCCCTGATGGATCACTAAAGAAAACTTCATCCCTAGTGGACCCACCAAAAAGAAGGAAAAAGCCAGCGTAATAAAAAGAAGCTTAAAAGGAAAAAAGGCATACGCTCAATAAAAAAGCCAAAATCCAAAATCGCGAGAAAGAAGAGATAAAACCGCGAGAAAAAGGCAGGATTAAAACAAGCCATCACCCCAACCAACAAAATGTCGACTACCAAGCAAGAGTCGGACAAAAGACAACCCGACCAGTCAGCAAGAGTCGGGTGATCACCACAAAAGATCAAAAACAAAATCCCCAGCAGCCAACAAAGCTGGATGAACAACCAACAAAGTCCCCGGCACAACCCGGATGACCATCCCAGAAAGGTCCAAGCACATTTACCCAACACAACAATCACTCCCCAAGGAGCCGGCGCATGAGCTAGAGCAGTAAGCCGCCACCATAGCCAAAGGGTCAGTTACCACAAGAAGGAACACCCAGAGGCACCTAACCAGACGAGGGTTCATACTCGCCAACCAAGGGATCAGCTACCGCATGAAAGGGGCATCCCGAGGTTTCACACCGGCGCATGAGCTAGAGCAGTAAGCCGCCACCACAGCCGAAGGATCAGCTACTGCAAGAAGGGGCATCCAGAGGCACAACACCAGATGGGGGTGTATACTCATCAAGCCTTACAAAAGGGGGCTTACCAGATGGGGGTTCATACTCGTCAAACACCAGATGGGGGAATATACTCATCGGGCCTTACAAAAGGGGGCTTACCGGACGGGGGTTCATACTCCTCAAACCAGATGGGGGTTCGTACTCATCAGCCGAAGGGATCAGCTACCGCCAGAAGGAGCATCCTGGAAGCACACCACGCAACCCTCTTTCCGGAAGATCAACCGCTACAAAGACGGGACATCTGAAGGACAACCATGCAAGACGGTCAACTCCTTTACCCTCCAGTCGATCTCCTTGGCAAAAAAGGCCAACAGTCGACTAGTCAGGTAAAGGGGGGGCAGTTGTAGACCCCAAATCTTGCCCGGCCTCAGAAATAAGAGCAGAAACCTCCTATTCGAAGATGGACGAAGCCTAAAAAGCCACTAGGAGAGACTATTAGGCCCCCATACTAGGATAGGAAGGTTTTTGGCACGAAAAATAAAGTTTCTCGCCCTGATAGGACGAGACCGCCGTCTGGAAGGACCAGACCGCCATCTCGCCTCACGCCAGCGATGAGACCGCCGTCTCGCTTGTCCAGACGGCGGTCTCGCCACCTGCAAAGGTCGAGACGGCGGTCTGGATAGTCCAGACGGCGGTCTCGACTCCTGCATAGTCAAGACGGCAGTCTGGATTGTCCAGATGGCGGTCTCGACCCCCTGCCATGGTCGAGACGGCGGTCTGGATTGTCCAGACAGGGGTCTCGACCCTGTCAGATGAGACGGCGGTCTCGACCTGTCAGGCGCGAAAAACTATAAATATGGGCTCCATTTCCCCTTTTTCCACACAGTTTGTCCTCCTTCTCTCTAGATTTTCTCTCTCTAGAACCCCTCCGAAGCATTTCCGGAGTTTCTGAGTGTTGTAGAGTGAAGGGCTGCCACAAAGCACCCTCTTTTAAAGAAATAATAGAAAAAGCTTGTTTTGGAGGTTCACACTCTCCCTCTCTACTTTTACTGCTTTCATTTAAATTATGCAATAGACGTTAGGGCCATGTAGTCGTAATTTTTGAATTCCGCATAATAAAAAGGGTAAAAGTGCATTTTCCAGTTTATTTATTTATCCAAAGTAACCGGCCTATCATAGGGAACCCGAAAGGGGCGTCGTAAAGGAACTAATACTTCCTTTACACGTAACTAACTCCCTTACCCAACTCTGGTTCTAATGACCAAAGTTGGTTTTCGAAAACCAACGCCTTTGAAAACTCCTTTTCCGATGTTTCCGGTAAAAGCATTGGTGGCGACTCCAGAACCCTTTTAAAACATGTTCTTGGGTTAGCCCGGTTATCGGACAATCCAAGAACACTTTTTTTCGAAAACCTCGTCTCTAGGTTAGCCCGGTTATCGGACAACCTAAGGACGTTGTAACCACCTATAAAAACGCGAAAGCAAGAGGGTCGAAAACCATCACGTCGCTCCGACCGCCCCTCGTTTTTGGAGGCGGCGACAGGAAGAAGTTTGGGATGGAGAAGAAGTTTGGAATGGAGAAGAATCTACTAAGTATGAAGAAGAAATTAGGGAAGAAGAAGTTAAGGAAGGAGAAGAACTTTCGGATGGGATGGGATAGGATAGGAGATTATATAGTTAAGGATAGGAGATTATATAGTTAAGGATGGAGAAGAAACTTGGGATGTAGAATGAAGTTAAGGAAGCAAAAGAAGTTAAGGAGGGTGGAGAAGAAGTTAGGGAAGGAGAAAAAGTGAAGAATGAAGAACAAGTTAGGGAAGGAGAAGAAGTTAAGGATGGAGAACAAGTTAGGGAAGCAGAAGAAGAAGTTAAGGATGGAGAAGTAGTTTGGGATGGGGAAGAAGTGAAGGAAGGAGAAGAAGTTAAGGAGGAGGAAGAAGAAGTTTTGGATGGAGAAGAAGTTGAAGATTGATGATTTTTGTATTGTAATAACTCTGTTTTAATTTGATTGAGTCTATAATTTTAGAGTCTAAGATAGTCGGTACATAGTCTGCAACTTAGAAGCTTCAAAAAGCTCAAATTTATCATCCAGGCTCGACTTTAATCGATTAAATAGGTAAATAATCGATTAAAACAGTGAGAAAACCATTTTCTGTACAAACTCACTGCTTTAATTGATTAAACAACAAAATAATCGATTATTCCGTACTGATAATCGATTATTTCACCTAATAATCGATTAAAACAGAGAGGTCTTGGGTTCTGACATTTTTGGCTCTGTTTTAATAGATTATAACTTCTTTTAATCGATTATTACAGTCTGTTTATGATTTTAAACTTCAAACCAACCCTATTTTCAAAAACCCAATTACCAAGAACCCTAGTTTCGAAATCCCCAATTCCTAAACCCTAATTTCCCTACTTAAACTCTGCTTTGGCACTAAAAAAAAAAGAACAACTCTTTCCATACAAAAGTTAAGTGCTGTGAGTGCCAGAGAACTATTTGTTGCAAGGAAAGGGGGCTTTTGGAACCTGGTGTGGGCTAGAAGCGATAAGAATCACTAAGTGGAGTTCTTAGTGGATTGTGTGTTGTGCCGTCTCTAGGGAAAGCTGTTCATCATCTCTTGTGGATTTCAAGAGAGGTGTTTTCTTATCTTTTTCTGTTCAATTGTAATCTACTTGTAACAACTTGATTTTAGTGACAGCGTTAATCCTCTGTTTGAGTGATTAGCAACTGGACGTAGGGTCTTTTGATCCGAACCAGTATAAATCTCCTGTGTAAGATTCTCTACTCTTCTCTATTTACATTTACACAGTTTTTAATCGGTAAAATTTGGGGAAAATTTTGAAAACGTAATTTTTATTAAGAAACCAATTCACCCCCCCTCTTGGTTTTTGTCCGACCATGCGAACATTCCGCTACGCGATTCTAACAGTATGAAGAAGAAGTTAAGGAAGAAGAAGTTTAGGAAGGAGACGAAGTCAAGGAAGAAGAAGTTTTGGATGGAGAAGAAGTTAAGGATAAAGAAGAAAGTATGGATGGGGAAGAAGTTTGGGATGGAGAAGAAGTTTGGAATGGAGAAGAATCTACTAAGTATGGAGAAGAAATTAAGGAAGAAGAAGTTAAGGAAGAAGAAGAACTTTCGGATGGGATGGGATAGGATAGGAGATTATATAGTTAAGGATGGAGAAGAAACTTGAGATGTAGAATGAAGTTAAGGAAGCAGAAGAAGTTAAGGAGGATGGAGAAGAAGTTAGGGAAGGAGAAAAAGTGAAGAATGAAGAACAAGTTAGGGAAGGAGAACAAGTTAAGGATGGAGAACAAGTTAGGGAAGGGGAAGAAGAAGTTAAGGATGGAGAAGTAGTTTGGGATGGGGAAGAAGTGAAGTAAGGAGAAAAAGTAAAGGAAGAAGAAGTTTTGGATGGAGAAGTGTAGACCCCTAATTTTGCCCGGCCTCTCAAATAAAAGCTAGGGAAACTCCACACGAAGATAAAGTTCACCCGGCTTCCCAAATAAAAGAAAAGAAGGCCTCTCCAACAAGACAGAGTCCACTCATCCACACAATAAAAGCCAAAGGAGACTTCCTACACGAAGAGAAAGCTCGCCCGGCATCTCAACTAGGGTCAAGAAGACTTCCTACACAAAGATAAAGCTTCAACGGACATATATCAGCATCAATCTACGTCCGAAAAAGGAAAGGAAAGCTTCCCGGGGGTCCCAGAACGCGAAAACAGGCCAAGACAGGTTGGGACAGCCGTCCCAACTTTGGGACAGCCGTCCCAAACATCAAAAGACAAGTGAGACGCACGTCTCACCTTTGGGACGCACGTCCCAAGCCCCAAAATTCAAGTGGGACGGTCGTCCCAACCCAGACTGGTCGTCCCACTCTTTCCCCAGCTTGCCCATGTGTAAAATGTGCAGTTGGGACGGCCGTCCCAACCCAGACGGCCATCCCAAAGTTCCAGGCGAAAAAGGCTATAAATAGGAGCCTCATTTGTCATTCTCCACACCCCAGACAACTCTAAGACTTGTCTTCTTCTCTCTCTCTCTCGAATGATCTCTCTGATTGCCTATTATAGGTAACAATCAGTTAAGGAATTTGTATTCCGGCATTCGATTCTTCTAGAAAAGTTTTAGTCGAGTCGATAGGGTAGTCGAGAGGAGAGCTATTGTAGAGCGAGGGACTGCCGAAACGCGTCCTCTTTGTAAAAGACTTATAATATAAAGCTTGCTTCGGAGGTTCTTCTCAATTCTCTTCTCTTTTACTGCTTTATTTACTGCTTTCTGTATGCAATGTAGATAAAATCATGTAGATAGCCATATTTAAATATTGTATGAATAAAAGAGGGTAATACCATAATTTCTCGTAATCTTTACTTAAATGAATTAATCCGTCATAGGGAACCCGAAAGGGGCGTTGTGGGGTGCTAACACCTTCCCCACACGTAACTAACTCCCTTACCCAACTCTGGTTATAATGGCCAAGTTTGGTTTTTATTAAAATCAATGCCTTTTTCTCCTTTTCCAATGTTTATGGTCAAAACATTGGTGGCGACTCCAGAAGAACCCTTTTCGAAAACATTGCTTCTATTAGAGGATAGTTCAGTATTGAGCGCCTCGGAAGCAATGAACATAATTTTAACAAAACACGCGAGTCTCAACCATCTTTTCGCGACCGCTCGCATAAACGTTCGAGATGTCCCAGGACGTCGGAACGGACGACGGCGACAGATGGCGACTCCACTGGGGAAGCTAGAGAGTTGATCCCATTTAGTGACGGATAAGTTCAAACTAAGTAAAGATTTGAAATTACGCCTTTACCCTTCGTATGTTTTATTGTATGGCTTTAAATAACTGTTGTATGATAGTACACAAAAACCCTTGCACACAACAGTCCCTCTATACCCAGGGGCAAGAGTGAATACCTTTAGGGAGTGGGTGGCAGATACGACCGGCTTGTTGGCACACGGGGCTACATCCGTTGTCGGAAACCACCAACTCAAGGTGATAACTCTCTTCTTTTGGTCTAAGGATGTCGACACGGAGTTCCGTGCATGACCCAAGGACTGAGAGATTGAGAGGTCCCTATAATGGGGGCACCTTGGGGACCTTTGGCCTTGGTGAGAACAGTTAGAACCACCCAAACCAAGTACGTTTCTGCAGGAAAACCCTACCTCGTGATTAAATAAGCGTGGCTCTGCTCGTGGATGTAGGAATTGTGTGCACAGGTGGAACCTCCTCTATCCGACAAGGAAACTACATCCATGTTCATCAATTCTTTGACTGGTCCCTATTATGACAAAATGATAGGGAACACATCGACACTCTTCGCGGATGTGGTTATTATAGGAGAAAGAGTAGAGCAAGGTCTAAAAAGTGGAAGAATTGCACAACAGACCTCCTCCAATTCCTCTACTCAGAACGTTAAAAGGAATTTTGAAAAGAAGAAGGATGGAACCGTGAATGCAATCAACTTTGCCACTCCTTCTTCCTCCTCGCAGCAGACCAAGTCACGCAGGCCGGAAAGGAAGTTCACTCCAATACCCACTTCCTATGGAAGCCTGCTGCTAAAATTGTTGGATGCCAAACTCCTCGTGCGCGTCCCTCCCAAGAAAATGGAGCCACCATATCCAGAATGGTATAAGCCAAATGAAAAATGCAATTATCATTCAGATGCTCTGGGACATTCTGTAGATAACTGTATGGCCTTAAAGCATAAGGTCCAAGATTTAATAGACGCGGGATGGATTACTTTTGACGCATCAACTCCAAAGGTGGATGACCAGCCCTTATCAAAGCCCGAATGAAAGACGGGATAAGGAAGACCAGCAATTTAGGGCTCATCATTTTTACCATCTCTAAAAATGTAATAAAAAAAAATATAAAGATATATCGAAAAGCTTCCGATGTACTCTTCGTGATCCCTGCCCATGATCACTAGATTTTTTGTTAAATTGGGCTTTGTAAATATTTTCTTTCTATCAATACAATGAGGCATTTTTTCATGATATTCATATTCTCTTTCATTCTTTTCTATCTTACATGCCTAATAAAGAAATCTAAAACAAAGCATAACCATACAGTCATGTCTGTGATTGAAAACTCCCTGGAAGATCTGAAAGCTGAAGACGAATGGATTGAGTCAGACACTCTCTAAATGTTTTGATTTTTCTATTATTATTTTATTTATTTTGGATTTATTTTTTAGCCTTTTATCTCTTACTGTCGGACTGCGTGGCTACTTAGCTTACAAAGAACCCGAAACCAGGCTAGCTAAAAGGCAGACTGTCCGAGATAAAATGTGGCTTTATGCGAAAGAATATTTAGCGTCCCTTATCTCTTCTGTCGGAACTGCGTGGCTACTTAGCTTACAAAGAACCTGAAACTAGGCTAGCTAAAAGGCAGACTGTCCGAGATAAGGGTGTTTATTGAAGGAAAATGTTTTTTCTTTGTGATTTTTCTTTGTTGTTTGTTTATGCTATGCAACAGACAAATGCAACAAACATATGCACACACAATTCGATCATCCCCGAACAGGCGAGAATTCGTTTTTATCACGAGGTAGGGTTTTCCTGCAGAAAAGTGCATTGGCGAGGGTTGGTTCTAACTGTTCTCACCAGGCTAAGGCCCCCAAGGTGCCCCCATTATAGGGACCATTTCCCCGGACATGCAAAGACTGTTAGAAAAAGAAGCTCAATCAATACAGCCCCATCAGGAAAAACTGAGGCCATCAATTTGGGACAAGAAGATAATAAGAAAGAAGTAAATATTGGAACCCAAATTGACGATGATGTCAGGGAAAAACTAATACAATTGCTAAGAGAATATACGGATGTGTTTTCATGGTCCTACCATGATATGCCCGGAATCGATAAAAGTATAGTGGAGCATCGATTACCATTAAAAGAGGGATTTCGACCAGTTAAGCAGAAACTCAGAAGAGTAAAACCAGAATGGTCCTTAAAAATTAAGGAAGAAGTAGAAAAACAGTTGGATGCCAATTTCCTGATTGTTTCAAAATACCCTGAATGGTTAGCAAACATTGTGCCAGTGGTAAAGAAAAATGGAAAAATCAGAGTATGCGTAGATTACTGAGACTTAAACCGCGCAAGTCCAAAAGATGATTTTCCCTTACCACATATCGATATGTTGGTAGATCACACTGCTACAAATACTCTCTATTCTTTCATGGATGGATATGCAGGGTATAACCAAATTAAATTGGCTGTTGAAGATAGAGAAAAAACTTCCTTCATTACGCCGTGGGGTACATTCTGTTATAGAGTAATGCCTTTTGGACTTAAGAATGCAGGGGCTACTTATCAAAGGGCTATGGTCACATTATTTCATGATATGATCCACAAAGAAATCGAAGTATATGTGGATGATATGATCGCCAAGTCCAAAAATGAAATAGATCACCTCCAATACTTAAAGAAATTATTCAATCGGCTTCGGAAATACCAGATCAAGCTCAATCCGGCTAAATGTACATTCAGAGTACGATCAGGAAAACTCCTTGGGTTTATTGTCAGTAAAAAAGGAATTGAGGTAGACCCTGATAAAACAAAAGCAATTATAGAAATGCCCCCACCAAGAACAGAAAAAGAAGTCAGAGGGTTCTTGGGCCGAATAAACTACATCGCACGGTTCATTGCGCAATTAACGGACAAGTGTACGCCAATCTTCAAGTTATTGCGTAAAAACCAACCGAAAGTTTGGAATGACGAATGTCAACAAGCTTTCGAAAAGATCAAAACGTGCCTAACCAATCCCCCAGTATTGGTACCACCTATGGAAGGAAAGCCCTTGATTCTTTACCTTTCAGTACTCGATGAATCCATGGGATATGTGCTCGGTCAACAAGATGACACGGGTAAAAAAGAACAAGCCATATATTACCTCAGTAAGAAATTTCTAAACTATGAGACCCGTTATACACCACTCGAAAAAACATGTTGTGCATTGGTGTGGGCAACTCAGCGCCTTCGACAATATATGGTCAGACATACAACTTGGTTGATTTCCAAAATGGACCCAATCAAATACCTGTTTGAAAAACCCATCTTGACCGGAAGGATAGCCAGGTGGCAGGTACTCCTCTCAGAATTCGACATTGTTCATGTCACTCAGAAAGCTATCAAAGGTAGTCCTTTAGCAGACTACCTGGCACATGGGCCAACTGACGAATATCAATCCCTCCAAGATGATTTTCCAGATGAGCACATAATGCACATCCAACATGAAGAACTTAAGAATAATGAATGGATTATGTTCTTCGATGGAGCTTCAAATTTACTAGGAGATGGGATTGGAGCCATTCTAATATCTCCCGAAAAGAAGTATATCCCAGTAACAGCCAGATTAAACTTTGATTGCACAAATAATAT